TTATCGTTCCGGCCACCAGATTCGTTGGTTTTCATAAAGTTTCATTTGCCTGTGCCACTTCCACCCGTGTTTATAAGGCGTAATATTCAACTGGAGGTAAAAGAGTTTATATTAAACAATTATTTGTTATTAACAGAGGTGGGCACTACCACAAACAAGCGTGAGCTAAAAGTGAGCATGTGTTAGTGTACCTAATTCATTTTGCATGCTGTCGTGTTCTCATCGATGCGCTCTCGCTTGTATACGTACACGCAACGCTTACGCTCTTTTAGCACCTGCTAACTCTCTGCCCATGCCTGGTTATTAATAATATTATTTGTTGCTAACAACAATATTTTTTACAGATACCTTACTTTTTTTATCGTTCCGGCTGCTGTATTATCCGATTCTTGTGTGTTGGTTGGTATATCGGAAGCTTTAGTGCAAGATGTTCGAAGAAAAACTTATAGCAGAGATTGAAAAAACACAACTGCTTGTGGGACAAACGACAGCTTAGTTACCGCGATCGGGTGAAGAAAGATTTGGCTTGGCGAAATGTAGCTGCTGCTGTGGGACATCCTGGTTAGTATAGAGTTTTTCAAACATATAGCAGTTTTGTAATAGGACGAACCAAATTATAACAAATTTGTGACGAATAATTGTGACGAATACTATATTTTTACTTTACAGAGGAAAACTGCCGAAAGCGATGGAAATCGTTAAGAGACCGATATGGAATAGAATTGAAGGTTGATCAACAACCTAGCGGAAGTGCTGCGTCGTTTTTGAAAGACACGGTCACGCCCAGACAGTAAGTGTACTTTACATTTGTACAACAAGTATTTATATTTTAAATTGTAATTTATATGTACATATTTTAAGGACAACAACAAACATCGTCTCCCAAACGCCAGAAGTTCTCGGACAAGAACCAGATATACTGGATACTTCCTTTGGATTCCAAATAGGCGAGAGTGGGAACATTATAATAGAAGAGCAAGAAACCACTGCCCCAACGCCGGCTAAGAGACAAAAGAAAAAAAACGATGAGAACGCCGCCTTTAACGATCTAGTCAACGAAGTAAGTCAGTTTGTGGATAGTCAAAAAAAAACACACAACAATTTCTTGGGTGCGATTGGCGAAGTGTTTGAGAAGGTCCCAGAAGAGAGCCGCCTAGATTTTCAAATGGACGTACTTCAATACGTCTATGCTCAATATAAAAATTATAAAAATTGAATTTACGAAATTTAAAAATTTAAATGACATCCAGTTTGAATTCAATTGTGCGAACTTTATATGTAATCTAATTTAGTATGAAATCTGATTTTGATTTTGCGAATTAAATATGTAATCGAATATATATGTAATATATAATATATATATATGTAATGTAATAATATGTAATAAATATGTAATCGAACCTGAAAGATGTGACGACATTTAAAACATTACCAATAAGTGCCCTCATACTGTGAGTTCAAATTTTTGTTTTCTATCTTAAATAATAAAAAACAAAGCATATTCAGTGAGTAGTAATTATTTAAATTTTATTGTTAAAAAGATGTGTCGTCAGAGCATCCCTTAAATCATAATTATTTGAACTGCCTCGGTTCGATGACACCCTACTTATTGAGGGCAATGGAACTACTTCGTTTCGCCATGAGCCAGCGATGGTGGCATCCTCTTCGTAGCGATCAACGAAATCGCTTGCTACATAGTTTGCACACGAAAGCTTAATAAAATTATGCAAGACAATACAAGCTTTCACTATTTGTTCTGCATTTTTCGGGGCCATGCATAGCGTCGTTCTCAATATTCTCCATTTGGCAGTGAGTATTCCAAATGCGTTTTCTATAACTCTTCTTGCACGAGAGAGTCTTTTATTGAAATACTCTTGCTCTTCTGGAATACCTCTACCCGGATATGGTCGCATTGAATAACGCCGTAAAGGAAAAGCAGCATCTCCTACTAAATAATGTGGAAATGGCTCGGTTTCTCCTGGCAGAGGCTGATCATGTGGAAGGCCGAGCCTATCATTTTCAATAGCATCTGCCAGTTTTGAAAAGTGGTAGACACCGCCATCGCTTTGACTTCCATATGCTCCGATGTCAACGCAGGTAAAGGTATAATTGGCATCACATACGGCCAAAAGCACGATACTATAATTGCCTTTGTAATTATAGTACATCGACCCTGAATTCGCTGGACAGGTAATATTAATGTGCTTTCCGTCGATGGAACCAACGCAGTTGGGCATATTCCACAGCGACTTGAACTCATTGGAAATACGTCCCCATTCCGTTTCTGACGGGGTCGCCACATACAGGTCAGCTAACAGATCCCATATGGTCATACATGTCTCCAACGTAATCTTCCTGAAAGTCGTCAGGCCGATCCTGTGAACTATTGTGTGGAATTGCCGAGTGCCACCGTGAGCCAAATATCTGCAACAAAAAAATAAAACCAGATACATATATGGAAAATTATACGTATACTATTAAGTAAAACCGATTTTCTCTTACATCAGGGTTATAAATAGTCTGCAGCGGCTCGATATTGGTGTTCTGATTGAATATTTGGTCAGCGAAGCCTCCAGAAATTCGTGCAGCACATTAAATAACGAAAAGGGCATTCTTAATGTCTTGTTAAACTGCTCCTCATCTGCAGCCAAGTTTCTTAATGAACTTTCAAACAATCCATATTTGTGTCGCTCTAAGTACAATTTCCGAACCCAAAATCGGCGCTTCTGTTTTAATCGCAGTTTTAATTTACGCATTTTCGCTAAAATTAGGAAAATTCTCAAAACTTGTTCAGCATTTCGAGTCAACATTTTGTACTGCCAAATGAAACTTTATGAAAACCAACGAATCTGGTGGCCGGAACGATAAAAAGCAAGGTATCTGAAAAAAAATAATGTTGTTAGCAACAAATAATTGTTTAATATAAACTCTTTTACCTCCAATTGAATATTACGTCTTATAAACACGGGTGGTGAGTGGCGCAGCCAAATGCAGCTTCACCAAAACCGGAACGATAAAAAAGCAAGGTATCTGTAAAAAATAATGTTCTTAGTAACAAATAATTGTTTAATAACATATATTTTAACTAAAATTCACAATTATACTTGCTGGCACAACAAAGAATGGCGGGTATATTTGCGCGCATTGAAAATCAGCTGACTACTATGACAGCGTTCAAAGTTACCATTAGGCCATAAAAGCCTTCAAAGTAAAGCAAAGCAAACTAAAGTAAGCAAAGCAAGCGTGCATTGGGCCAATACCTTGAGGGCTAAAGCCATTACAGCAATCTATTACTGAAGAATGTTTTAGAGTGAAGCTGCCGCTCTCTGTATGACGTACTGAAATTCATTAAAGCCGCCAAATGGCTGTAGGTTACACGAGTTGTGGCATCAAAATGGCAAACATTCTCAACTGTCTATTTACACAGGATTGTATATGACTGCTTGATTATAAACTAATTTTATACATTAATGATGCTTATCATGAGTTTAATTTTCTCCGAACCGGTTAAATTTCACTTGGTTACCATGGTTTTACTATGGGCGGATGACCAAGATTCGGGTGATTTTTTTCAGGCAAAATGAATTAGTTTCATTATTTTCTTGTTAAAGTAAATGTGTTATTTATCTCTGTACCGGCAATAAAATATTAGGAAAATATTTTTAATTGCAGATTCTACTTGTTTATGGCGCATATTTTTGAATTTTGGCTGCATATTAAATGCGCATATTTTGGATTTTTTTGTGCATGAGATTCCGAGCCCTACATATAATTATTATGA